CAAAATATTCTGGATACTGGACACACTTTTAGGCGAACAGTCGTTGGTGCGTCACACAGGTTTTTACCCGTGTATGTACGCAAATGTCTCAATTTGCGTATTGATTTGCAAACTTGATAGTAATTGCGACACGTGTATAGTGATGTGCGCATTCAACAAAATCAGAAAATTTCATATGCATCCGGCTCGTAGGACCAAAATGTTTCGCAAATTCGGCGTGCAAAACGAATCGTGGACTGTAAATTATAAATAACAAGCCAATATGAATGCATATAAAATTGACTAAGTTTTTATTGAATCTCCACAACAGTTTTCTTTACACGTTTTTTGGCAACCACCTTGATTGTGTGAAAAAAGCCGAGATGTCTCTCTCAAAAAAATATGATAAATCAAAAACGCCAAAATTCTCTCCGTCCTCGCGTTCCTTTAAGTTAGTTGTAGTTCGCTTACGTCTTAGAATTTACAAAAGAGGGATGCCATATCTCTGGAATTGAAAAACATTAAATATTCCAATTTATCAAATTTCTAAACAGAGGTCCTAATTAACACCTAAAAGACACCTAATTCCTAGCTAATTTTTATGGATTTTTGGCGACTTGGGTCAGCTAGGCTTACGGACGTAAGTTGTGTATTGATACACGTTTTTTAAATAAACCAATTCATTTTTAAAAGTAAACATTTTGATTTTCTACTTATTTGTTTTTTCCTGTACTGAGGAGTTTATAACGACAAAAATGAGTAGTTTGATTATTAGTGCTGAACTTTATTCATTAGCACCAAATATGTAATACTTCTATATTGGCAGTAAGCTAACTTCTCAATGTGTAAGCGTTCCGAAATCAAAGCGAGACAGTCTAGTACCATTTTTGTCAATGTATTGTGTACTTGAGTGCCGTTTTTGTATATGTGTTGTGTACATGTTTATTTATAAAAGTATGTGTTCCTTTTCTTTCGTACGTGTTTATTGATATATCTGTACTGTAGTGTTTTCGGACGTTGCTAGCTCTTACTGCCAATATAGGAGTATTACATATATGATTAGCACTGATGAGTTTATAAAAACAAAAATACGTAGTTTGGTAGTTTCTAGAGCAAAGCAGATATATTTTTCATTAATCAAAGTTTTCAATTAGTAAGAAGAGGTAAAATATTACATCGACGGAAAGTGCTCAGTTTTATCCCATCGCCTGAACAAAAATGAGTATTTTAATAGGCACTTTTGTAATTAGTGATAATGATAAAATGTGCACTTATTTGATGCTCAGCAGTCTTGCAGAGAAATAGGTCAAAATATTGAAATTTACTTTTATTTTAGACTGAAAGTGAGAATGTATTTGTGAGGTTGAAAATTTGAAAACATTTTTGTTATGTTAGCAAACTTCAAAAATGTTCAGGCTGGCTCTCAGCAGTTTTACCTTCAAATTTTTGTATCATGGTGTTTTTATTCGAAATAAAATATTTTTATATTCGTTTTCCTGGAGTTCTAAATTTTTGTTTTGTTTTGTACATATTTCTATGTGGTTTTTGCAATTTTGTACAAACATAAATGGCAAAACTTATGCATAAAGTAATAATAATATACCAAATGAATGAATTGGTTTTAAAGCTTTTATTTTCTTCACCTAAAATATTTATGTTTTCTAGTTTTAGCAGCTTGTTACTTGATTCTATATATTCCAATATTTCAAAGTTATTTACATAGTTATTTTTCAAATAGTTCCAAATTTTAGACTCAGTATTTTCATAGGTGATATTATTTATCTCAGTTTGATTTTCAAATGTAATTACATATGTTCCTTCTAGTGTTCGGATTTCGGCATTATTTTTTCCAGAAATTAGTATTGCCCCTTGTTTTTTTATTTAAATTTTATTGATTCGTTCCTTAATTTTTTTACATTTTCCTTGGTTTTTATTTAAAATTTCTGACAAACATGACTTTTCTTTTACTAATTTACGATATGTGTTTGTTAATTCAGTTTTGCAATTATAAATATTATAAAATTTGCTTTTACAATTTGTACATTTCTGTCGATTAGAAGCTTATCATCTAGTTGAGCTATAGCCCTTAGTTCATAAAACTTACAATTTAATTCTATTTTTGGGTATTTAATGTAAAGTAAAATTATGTCATTCCTTTGTATAATTTTAAACTCTGAAATGTCCATCAAATCCGTAATTGTCATAGTTCCATGTTGATAATAAGTGATATTTTTTAGTTCGTTGTGTTTAAAATTCCCATTTTCCAAAAGTTATTGTACATATCATGTTTTGAGGTTCATGCAAAATAATTTCGTTTCTTTTTTATATTTCTAGCAAATGTGACACCTTTAATCATATATGTAATACTTCTATAATGATAGTAACGTATCTTCACAATGTGTTTAATTGAATTGAATTGAATTGAATTGTGTTAGTATAAATGTATATTTGTAAACTACTACTAAAAAACAACTGTCAAGTCACTCCAGGAGCGTTTTAAATAAAAAATAAATAAAATAACCAAAAATGTTTCCCTGAACGTGATTGGTGCAAGCTTTGTGGTAACCGGCCGATTTGAATAAGAAGCAAGAGATGTAAAAGTTACACTTGAGATGATCACCGTAACCACTCTTAAGAGATATTCTGTAAGGTTACGCGCCTGCCATACCAACGCCTTAGAAGACAGTTTACTCGCGTCTGCACATTTTTCCCAATATATTTTTAAACGGTACCACTTGGAATATTAATTTTTCTGCTTTTTCCGATCCCGGGATTTTGGGGATGGCGTTGCCATAATTCCGTGCTCCCGGGAATAGTCCCGGGATTTAAATATTCATTACAACAACTTGAATCGAAAAAATTGCTTCGATTATGTATGAGAAGCTCTCCTACCATGAAATGATTAATAAATAAAGGGGTTTGAAACCATGGTACAATAATTACAGGTATTGTCTTCCTAGAGAGCGCATATTCCGATCTGCCTTATTTAAAAAATATCATTGTTGCCCACACTAAGTGTTTACTGCTGGAAATATCCCTTTTCCATACCCCATATACCATATATGTTTATGTATTTTTTTTAACAAACCATCTTACAGGAACTTATTAAATTTTGCAAAAGCTGGAAAAAAAATATTTGCTTGTAAATAAATTCAAAATTTGTAGGCTCACTTAATTTCAAACGTTTTTTCTTTTGTTTTGAAAAATTATAAAAACTAAATTGAGCGAAAACAAAAAG